GTATTGTAAAATAATTTTTTTATGTGCTTCACACCGTGTGTAAAATCAGTCGTGTAACAACAACGTTCCCTCCTGTTGGGGCAATGTCCAAAAAAAAATTAGTTCTGATTGGTAGATTATTTTATCGATTCATTATAAAAAAAAAAATAAAAAAAATCTAGATTTTTTGCAGTTCATCATATATCCATCTAATAGAAAGAAGAAGTAACTATGGTAGTGTATTAAAGCTATGTCCGGCTAAACTTATTTCATATACGGTCTCTTCACTTTCGAAGACTGAACTGTATTAGAGCAACATGATATAAAACTTGAAACTAACAAGTTTTTAATTATGTTTCGCTCAATGACCAATAGCCAAAGGCTAAAACGAAAAAGGTTGCACCCCCACCTTTTACTGTAAAGAAAAAAGACGGGGGAAAAGCTTCCAAAAATCCATTATTTGAGAAGAAACCTCGCAATTTTGGGATTGGTGTGTGAAACATCTTTATTTTAGTATTTTAAAATGTGTTAGTTCTCCGTCAAATTTATAATTTGATTATTGGTGTTATCAGGCCAAGATATACAACCAAAGCGTGATTTGACTCGTTTTGTAAAATGGCCCGAGTATGTTATTTTACAAAGACAGCGAAAAGTCCTCAATCTACGTCTCAAGGTTCCTCCAGCCATTAACCAATTTACTAAGGTTTTGGACAAGCCTACCGCTACCAATGCCTTTAAATTGTTAAACAAGTATCGTCCAGAAACCAAGATTGAGAAAAAAGATCGTGTGCGTGCCATCGCTGCTGCGAAAGCTGAGGGTAAAGAATATAAGACCAAGAAACCGTGTGTCGTCAAATATGGCATTAACCACGTTACTGCTCTCGTTGAAGCCAAGAAAGCACAATTGGTGTTGATCGCCCATGATGTCGATCCCATTGAACTCGTTCTTTGGTTACCTGCGCTCTGTCGTAAAATGCAAGTTCCTTATGCAATAATTAAGAGTAAGTCTCGTTTAGGAACTGTGGTGCATAAGAAAACTGCAACTGCCTTGGCTATAGTTGATATTCGTGATGAAGATAAAAGTGCGCTAGCAAACTTGATTAATGGAATCAAAATCAATTATAATGATAAGTATGAAGAAGCTAAAAGGCACTGGGGTGGTGGTATTATGGGTGCCAAGTCTCAAGCTATGATGGCTAAGAGGGAGAAAATTGCTGGCAAGGAGATTAAAAAACTTGAGTAAGATCGATTAGTAATGTATCGCTGATTTGATATTTTTATTTATAAAAAAAACCTTATCATTTAGCAAGGCCGTTTTTTTTAGCTATTTGAAAAAAATTTCCATAAATATTATTCTTACGTATTCTAATCATTGTAATCACCGTGCAAAAATAAATTAAGTTACAAATATTTATGGCACAAATAACAAAATTTTATATCGATATGCATATCGTAAATGCACATGAGAAAATAATGTTAATGTTATTATATAAAGCTTTATAATTAATGTCTCCGTCATCCATCACGACTCCTCCTCTTGGCCGCTCGTCCCTTCAATTACAACAACAGCTGAACTTGCTGCGACATTAGCGTTCACATTTGAATGCTGCGCAATTAATTTTGCGTTAGCAATCACTTGTAAAATATCCGCAAGTGATTGCTTCCAACCATCTAGTTTGTCGGATAATTGTTGCCACTGAGTCATCGTGAACGTGCGATACGTTGATCTGTTCACTAAAATGGTTTTGCGAACTTGGTTGACTTTAGCTTCAATTAAATGTGCACGAATCACTGCGGAAATATCATATGTTAGATTAAATATTATGACAAAATTTTGCTATATTAAATTTACCATCGATTGTCCACATTTCAACTTCATCCTCTTCGATTTCGAGAGCTTTTGCAATTGTTTGATAAGTGATCTCGTGCGAAACGTGCTCCGATGCTAAAGAAGCTAACGTCAGTAAGCGAATCTTGCGCGTATTATCTTCATTTGATAATCCTGAAAAAATGAATGTACATACAATATTATGGATTTAGCATCAGACGAACAATTATTAAATAAATATCAATGCCTTCCATGTGTTTACCAAGTTTTTCCACAACGCCTGGATTTGTGTCGACGAATTGCTTATATTCTTTCAAATTCCCATTTAAAAAAACCTTTAACAATTCAAAAACTTGCTCATTTTTCAATGCTTTAATAGCGTCTAACTCAAGTAAATCCTCAAAACTTAAAATTTCAGGCAGCTGAATTGCCTCTACCACTGCGCGACTTGCAGCGGACTTTGCCACAGAAAGATCATCGGATGGTGTATAAGTTGCAAGATACTTTAGTAGGAAATCGTGTGATCGTTTACTATATAATTTACCATATGTTATCAGACTAGAAAACAAGCTAAAGTCAAATTAAATTATAATTTCGTTAAAAAACACGTACATTTCACTTGCTTCTTTTAATTTATTTGAAACCGTTAAATATAGTTCCCGAACCTGCTCTGTAGATATTGACCACTCCTTCACCCAAGTATCCAGACGCGGCAACTGTGGTAGTATGGTTTCAATTTCATCGCTCTTAGTAGCAATATCAAGAATTGCAACAAATACATCGTAGCGGAGTGGTGAAGAATATTCTAGAGTATTGTACAGATTCTGGAGACTACAACCATTAAAAATTAATCGCCCAAAAAAACCACGAGTAGTTAATTAAAATTTCCGGAATTATATACTAATTATTTAAGCTGAAAATTCAACAAACACTTTAAGTTTTTGGATGGCCTTGTCGTGTTCATCATGTACCAACGCTTTGATGGAATGATTTATTAAGACCGGATATGTTTCAGGCGTCGCAGATTTTAAAATCGCAATGAGAAGATTATATACAGCTTCAAATTCTAGCAAAACATTTATTAAAGGTAAATTTGTGATAACAATTAAAAGGGATACATAACAGCGTTTAGTTCAAGCGCATGCATACCTTTCTCCGGCGCGTCTAATAATATTGAAGTTGCCGCAACAAATGTCTGAAATACTTGTTCTAATTTATTTTCTTTCAACAAGGCAGTTGTCTCCTTTATGAAAGGACCGGCATCTTCTGGCTCTCCTTTAAGCTTAGAGATGTAAGAGGCAAATTCTAAAATCTACAAAATAAGATCTATAGCTCAGCTTTATTTTCGGGGGACTCGACGCCCGTCTTTTATTAAATGTCAAGATACTTTCTTAAAAGTACACGAGTGAATGGCGATTATTTATCACCTAACACACCTGTACCTCCAAGGGACCATCCGTAAATACAGTATTAACGTATGTCATTTTTTAGCAGTTTTCTAAGAGAAAAAATTGAGATTTACAGAAAATTTTACAATTAATCGTCCAATCAGTTTCGGATGTTCATGAAATATCTATGAGAGTTCACAACCAATTACATTAATGCTTACGAAATATAAATTTCAAAATTGAAATCCTTATAGTTATTTTTTCGATCTCGCGTACTTTTGTAATGTCAGATCGTTATAGGTATGAAGATATCATTACTTTTTTTGCTCTTGATTAGGAATGATTACAAAATACAATATCTTTCTACCATTATAACAGTTTCTCTTTAACGACTTTTTCGCCGTCCGGCAAGCTTGTTCAAATTGAATATGCTTTAAATGCAGTGGCTCAAGGTGTAACTAGTATCGGTATTAAAGGTAACATTTTAAATTAAATTATGCCATTAAAAAAGTCACATTTAATCCTATTTAAATCGTATATTTACATACAGCAACAAATGGAATTGTTATTGCAACTGAAAAGAAGACGGCTTCACCACTAATTGATGACTCGTCACTCGAAAAAGTGGCAAATGTTTGCCCAAACATTGGTATTGTTTATTCCGGAATGGGACCCGATTTCCGAGTGCTACTAGCCAAGGCAAGGAAGTCAGCGCAGAAATACAAGAGAGTCTACAACGAATATCCACCAACAGGAATTTTAGTGAAGGAAGTTGCCAGTGTAATGCAGGAATTCACCCAAAGTGGGTAAGTGCACAAATGATGCTTTTTGTGTCATTCTTAATATTGGCCAGATGTTTAGTTCATTGACTTTGGAATCAGTGGAGTACGACCATTTGGTGTTTCCCTCCTGATTGCAGGTTATGATGAGACAGGTCCTGCATTGTATCAAGTAGATCCGTCAGGTTCATATTGGGCATGGAAGGCATCTGCTATCGGAAAAAATATGGTTAATGCCAAAACATTTCTGGAAAAACGGTAATAAATTATTAATGATCGGTTTTGCTGTTTAGACTTCGTTACATAAATTAATTTACAATATCAAATCAGGTATAACGACGATATGGAACTTGAAGATGCAGTTCATACGTCAATTCTTACACTCAAAGAGGGGTTCGAAGGCCAAATGACCGAAAATTCTATCGAAATTGGTATTATCGGTGGTGAGGCAACAGGGTTTACAGAAGGAAAACAACAACCTTTTTTCAGAAAACTCACACCATCAGAAGTAAAGGACTATTTGGCTAACATCGCCTAGCGCAGTTTGTTGGACTGGAAACTGGAACCCCACTGGACGTCCAGATTTTCCATTGTTCCAGTGATTCTAGTGAAAAGTTCCACTGGAACAATTTTTCACTGGAACATGTATATTATTAACCAATGAAAATGCATGAATAGTCAATAATATTTTCTAATAAATTACTTCGTTGTTACAATAGGTCCGTTCCGAAACATTTAATTTGTCTAAAAAATAGTGCTAAGCTAAAAATTAAAAATATCGATATGTCGTCAGTTCAATTTTGCTATATCAAGTTTTTAATTGAAATATTTTTTTAGTCCATGAGTAAATAGAATACCTAAGCATTTATTAACTTTATTCTAGGTTTGAGCATATAGGAAAGAACGTTTATTAAACTATTAGAATTTTATTTTATGCGCAATAGTTACAATAGTTACAATGTATGCAAATATAAAGTGCACTTATTTAACTATTTAGAATAAGCCTTTTACCTAATATATAAGCATAAAAAATATTTATTGGCGTAGCTGAAGCTGGAAATGGCTAAAGCAGTAAATTAGAAACCTTGTTTTTAAAAATATAAACTCCACCAAAATTTACTTATACTCTTTTATTATTAAAGCTATTTCTAAACCCAATCTAATTCTAAAAAAACCCTAACAAAAAATTTTTGAAAATTTCATATTCAGCTTTAGCTATTCCAGCATTATATTTATTAATTTTAAGTAATCAAAATAAGGTATTTAAAGAAAAGGCTAAAATCTACTATTTGTTAGTTTTAGTTAAAACAGAAAGCTAAAACTTACTATTTGCTTTAAACAAAATTTATAACAAAAGTATTAAAAATAACAAAATTCAATTATAACAATTTAAAAAATATAAAATTATACTACTGTAACAATAATAACTTTAAAGATAATAACCCAGAAGGATTAGATTTAAACAACTCTCTAATGTCTAATCTGATTGTTGATAATTTTTGCAAAACCATATGAGCTGGGTATACAGTAACCAATATAGAAGACAATTTCCATATACTACTATCCTCAGCCTCCTATAATTTACACACCATATTTCCACATTAAAATCTTTTTTTCTCTCAACCTATAACCTCTTTACCTAATGAAAATAAATTCATTTTAGAACCTAATATAAAAGATGATGATCTCATATTTGCAACAGATCCTCCTTTAATTAAAACAATAACTCAAATAACAGAAGGAATTAGAACCATAGATCCTTTTACATATTATAATAAAATTCTTTTTATTATAGACTATTTCTACTTTAGTATTCACAAACTGCTCAATCTTTTTTACAATATATCTCACATGACTTTTCCTTATACTATTCACCTTATTATATTAAAATTTTTATCTTTAATATTAAAGACAAAGATAATGAGTATCAAGAAGCTTATATCTATTTACCTAATAAAACTTGTTTACTTACAAACTATTTTATCACTTCTTTTCAAGACTTACTTCTACATGTAGAACATGAAAATTTTGGACAAACTATTTTCCTTCTGATATTCCTATAATACATACTGATAATTTAATGAGATATCACAATTGTATATATCTTACAGAAATCTGCCGATACTTTAATTTTTTTCTGCAAGAAGATTTCATATAGATATTAGACAAGATAAATATCTCGAAGAAAGTTAAATGATATTTTGGTTAGTCTATCAGAGAGGTTTCTTTAGATATTAGACAAGCAAATATCTCAAAGAAAGTTAATTAATATTTTACTAAGAATTTTAATAAAGTATTATTTATTTTATATCACTATAAGATATTAGCTATTCAATACAGCTATATATAAATATATAAGAGATATTGGCAAACTAATACAGCTATATATTAATATATATTAATATATAAGAAGCATCAATTAACCAATATAGCTATATATAAACATATAAGAGGTATTAGCTAACTAATATAGCTATATATTACAAGGTTGAACTTTAAAATCTTAGCAAAATTTTTGTAAGATATTAGTGAAATATTAAATATTTATAAAGCTAATAGCTATCTGATATTTGGCACATATTGTGACCTATCAGATAGATATCAATTCTGATAGGCCTATTAAACATCTAATACTTCTATTATAAAATATTAGATATTTGATATTTTGTAAATAGAAGTATCAGATGTTAAATAGGCCTATCAGAATTAATATCTATTTGATAGACTGCAATATGTGCCAAATATCAGATAGCTATTAACTTTATAAATGTCCAATATTTTACTGATATCTTACAAAAATTCTACTAAGATTTTAAAGTTTGACCTGTATATAAAATATGAAAATATTGGATAACATATTAGCTATCTAATATTGATATTTTCAAATTACATATTAATAATTTAGCAAGATATCATTACATATAATATCTTGATAATATCTTAAATCTCCAATCAACTAATTAGCTTCAATTAGTACTCGGCACAATCAAATAATTATTTAATAATCAAATACTTAGTAAATATTTAATAATCAAATCAGATAATGCATAATCTCAATCTAATAAGCAATATCGATATAAGCTTGTACTTATAACTCTTATGGCAAGAATAGATTTTCTAGATCCCCAGGTTTGAACTTTTTATATTGCGTCAGTTACACTTTACAAATTATAGAACACTAGATCCAACATTTGAATGCTAAGCTAAAAACATTATAAAACACTAGATTCAACATTCGAATATTAAGCTTAGAACATCTAGATCTGATATTCGAATATTAAGCTTAGATTATAGAACACTAGATCTAACATTCGAATGTTCTTAGTAATAATATACTATATTTTGTTTTGTTCTGTCTATTGTTTTTAACTTTTTTTTATTTTTTTTATAAGAATAGTTTAGAATCATTGTTGAATGAGTGTAGGCTTCTTAAAATAATTCAGCTATGAATGCTCTTTGTCGGTTAAAGGTATAGCAGTTTATCTTTTTTTTTGTTGAAATCTTTTTTGGTATACTATTTGAAGTTACAAGATTCTTTGCTTTAACTTCACTTTTTTTTATTTTTTGACAGTTTCGGCTATTTCTTCTCTTGGTTCTTGGTTAAATAAGAGTGTGCCTCTTAGAATCTTAGAATAATTCAGCCTCGAAACTCTATGAATGCTCTTTGTCAGTTGATGATACTAGGAAGTATAGCAGTTTACCTCTTTTTTTGTTGAAGTCTTTTTTGGTATACTATTTGAAGTTACAAGGTTCTTTGCTTTAACTTTACTTTTTTTTTATTTCTTGACAGTTTTAGCTATTTCTTCTCTTGGTTCTTGGTTAAATAAATGTGGGCTTCTTAGAATCTTAGAATAATTTAGCCTCGAAACTCTGTAAATGCTCTTCATCAGTTGGTGATACTAGAAAGTATAGCAGTTTATCTTTTTTTTTATTGAAGTTTTTTTTAGTATGCTATTTAAAGTTTCAAGATTTTTTGCTTTAACTTCACTTTTTTTTATTTCTTGACAGTTTCGGCTATTTCTTTTCTTGGTTCTTGGTTAAATAAGCATGGGCTTTTTAGGATCTTAGAATAATTCAGCCTCAAAACTCCGTGAATGCTCTTCATCAGTTGGTGATACTAGAAAGTATAGCAGTTTACTTTTTTTTTTGTTGAAGTCTTTTTTAGTATGCTATTTGAAGTTTCAAGATTCTTTGCTTTAACTTCACTTTTTTTTATTTTTTGATAGTTTCAGCTATTTCTTCTTTTGGTTCTTGGTTAAATAAGTGTGGGCTTCTTAGGATCTTAGGATAATTTAGCCTTGAAACTCTGTGAATGCTCTTCGTTAGTTGGTGATACTAGAAAGTATAGCAGTTTACCTTTTTTTTTGGTATATTATTTGAAGTTACAAGGTTCTTTGCTTTAACTTCACTTTTTTTTATTTCTTGACAGTTTCGGCTATTTCTTCTCTTGGTTCTTGGTTAAATAAGTGTGGGCTTCTTAGAATCTTAGGATAATTCAGCCTTGAAACTCTGTGAATATTTTTCGTCGGTTGGTGATACTAAGAAGTATAGCAGTTCACCTCTTTTTTTGTTGAAGTCTTTTTTGGTATGCTATTTGAAGTTACAAGATTCTTTGTTTTAGCTTCACTTTTTTTTATTTCTTGACAGTTTCAGCTATTTCTTCTTTTGGTTCCTGGTTAAATAAGAGTGTGCTTCTTAGAATCTTAGAATAATTCAGCCTCGAAACTCTGTGAATGCTCTTCGTCAGTTGGTGATACTAGGAAGTATAGCAGTTTATTTCTTTTTTTGTTGAAGTCTTTTTTGGTATGCTATTTGAAGTTACAAGATTCTTTGTTTTAATTTTACTTTTATTTAACAGATTCAGGTAAATATATATACCATAGCTATTATTATTATTATTATTATTTTGGGTCTTACTGGTATATTGGCTTCTCTTTAGAAGTTTAATATTAGTATCAATTTATTAGACTTTCAAAATGATAATTGTAAGGAGGTATTAGAAATTGTTCCAAGTAATATAATAGTTAAATAATTGTGCATCAAATTTAAAAATTGAACAAATAATATAGAAATGTTATAAGATCTAATAACATAATTCATATATACATTAAGAGAATTACTAATGGTGATTCTACAGTAGTATTAATAAAATTAGAATTACAATCTTTAATAATTTAAATATAATAGTTTTATGAATAATAAATATATATATAATACAGTAATATATACAACATTTACATACTATATTACAATAATATAACAATAGTAATATATATTTTAATCTATCTAATCACAAAGAGCAATTGCTTTTTGGATTGTTTCTGGATTTAACGATCCATGCTTTTTAGTATCTATATTTGAACTCCTTAAAAATAGTTGCTTAGATGAAGCACTTGATGCAGATATAGTGAGGTAATTACATGCTATAATTGTTAATTTGGGAAATGCTTTAATATATATTTTCCACCATTGAAATATATCTATACTATTATGTTTTACAGAACTATTTAAATATAACTCAATTTTGCCTCCAAAGTG